GTGATTTGAAGAGTGCTCCATCTTTGACACCCAGCCGAAAGAGAACATTCCTGGCCGCCCTACACGATCTCATTCTGAGCCATGGAGATGATGCAATCCCAATGAAAAGAGTTTATCATGTTGGTCATCGATTGTGTAGGCGTGACAATTCCCGCAGCCCACGCCATGGAGCCCCACACTATCTTCTGCAACAGTCTGACCCTATCAAAGAGCGGCGCGTTGGAGCGCAGAACCTGGTAGTTGGCGCGAAAACCCGATCTGGCCTTAGAGAGTAACGCTGCGACCTGCGCTGACGGCGAAAGTATCGGCGTTACAGGGATGCCCATGACGTGCAAGGGTGAGCCTTGTGGGAGGGCGTGCAGGACATCATCTCCAAGCTTCAAGGTGTTGCCTTTCGTTTCCCCCCAAACCATGAGGGAGCTCTTCTGCAAATTTACGCGCAAGCCCCACTCCAAAAGCTCTTGATGGATTTTTTTCACCAGCTGCTGAAGCGACGGGGTACACACACATCCCAGTCGAGCAAATCATCCATAAAGGTGATCTTGTTTACACCAATGTCAGGGAACCATTGGGAGGGAACAGTGATGCGATTGACCCGCTCCATAACCATGTCCATAATCCACGCAAACAGCCACGGAGATTCTACAGCTCTCTATTTCACTCCGGCTGTCATTGCAACCTCTGCATCCCCCCAAGCTGTACGAAGAATGGCTGTACCTTCTTGGGGGAGCCCTAGGAGGCACTTGGTTTCTGAGGGGTGATCGCTTTTGGCAGTCTCCTTTTTGGACCCCAGTTTGATCCGACCCACAGAATCAAACGCCCGCGCCACATTGAGCTTGACAACCGACACGCTGCCCCCCCATTCTCGATGCGCTTTCCCATTCTCATCAGGAATGCTCGCGCAAAGGTTTTGCTTGTGTGGGAATTGAGTGCTATTGGCCTCAACTGCTTGGCTGATTCCGGCTGACTCGTCTTGGGGAGGAGTGCAAGGATACTGCTATTCCATTTGGGGGGAATAACTCCACTGGATAGCACCGAAATAAACAGGTCCGTAAGCTTTGCGAGGCCACCCTCACAGTCGACGATAGCAATCAGCAACTCTTGCGAGACCTGATCCGCTCCTACGGACTTCCCCAATTTTCCAGCACGAACTGCACGGTCAACTTCCCATTCTTGAAACGGCGGGCTGTGTCCTTCAATTGATTGTTTAATTTCTTGCAGCCCAGCATCAACTCTCCCCTGTTCATGTTGTGTGAAAACTTGTTTGAAATGGTTCGAAATGACGCCCAAGGAATTTCCATCTTGCTTCGCCCCAAACCGCGGCTGCCAGGAACAACTCCTCACTCTCTTTGCCCACCCGAAGGCTTTCCAATCAGTGGCAGACTGGTCCCATTTGCAACTTTTCCATTCGACCCTTTCCTCCCGCACCTCTTTCATGTAGCGAATCCAATCATCAGAGCGCCTAGATCTTCTCGCAATCCCAAAGTTTTGACTGCTTGGGGGGGACAAATTTCAGAGAGGGGGCAGCGTAGCGAGCACTGAGAGCTTCAAGCTGATCCTGGTCAAGGTTCGGCGCCGCATCCAGCGTCGATCGCAAGATTCTTGGCCCTCCTTTGCGCCGCTGTTTCACTCTACCATATATGATCACAATTCCAAGTATGATGTACTCATGGTCAGTGCCCACGATCTTGCGGCTTTCGGGGACAACATCTACCTGGGTACATCTTCCACATCTGTCGGTTGCGAACAAATCAATCTGGGAGCCCACACTAGGTTGTTTCCTGGTCCACTGGGTGTTGACTCTTGGGTCGTGCTGGAGTACAGGAGAGATGTTCTTTGTCGCAAGCTCATTCAGGACATGGTGCAGTTTACTCGAGGTGCCTCCCGGAACACACGTGCTGCCATCCGCAACCCAATCGATCTTGGTGTTAATGTCAGCCCCTAAAAGAATAGCGCCCCGATCCCCCGGCCAAGATTCCACGCTCGTCTGTATTCGTGCGTGATGTTCACGCACGTCGATCCCTGTGCCCAGGTACACGCTGCAGACCCAGATCTTTGCGTCAGTTCGGGAATCAAGTAGGCGCACCCAGATGGCGTGTGGGGCGGCTCGTTTCTTAAGTACCTTCCAAGTGGCCCCGCAAAATGCCACAGCCACTCCTCTCCACGCTGTTTGCGGTCGAAACGACAGAACTTGCCCATGCTCTCTGTTTTCGCCCAGCCTTGCGCTGCTCGAGGGTATTCCTGAAAAGCAATCAGGCCCGGGTCTTCCTTTCCACAAAGACTTTCAAGAAAAGTTTGATCTTCGTCCGGCTCACACCGCCTAAGTTTCAATTGAGGAATTTCGATGTGACATTTGGTTGGCGACTACCTTCGAACTCGTGTCGGAGGCACTCACCACGGTCTGCAACACAAAAGGAATCATCATGAGAACTGTTTTCACCCGTGCCACGCTCACGACCTTTGCCGCGAGCTCCAAAATCCTCATCCGCTCGGAGGAGGGTGCTAACACATTCGGCTTGGCCTGTTATCCCTCCAGGAGCAGGTGCAACAGAGATGGCCTCTAGGTTTGCTTGGAGCTGCCCTTGCCGGTCATACAGGGGGATGGACTCATGTCCTCAGTTTGTTGTTTGAAGTGCATCTGCCCAAGCTGTCTTGGCCTCATCCAGGGACTCCTTGGCAAGCACTGTGAGATCAATCCAGGAGTTGGTCACTTTGCCATTTGCCACATCTCTATGTTGGGGACGAGGCAGCGTAGCAGAAGCAAGCGTAGCCTCGCCTATGTAGCACGTGCCAGTCAACGTGGCCTCGACAATGCTTCCCAAACCAATGTGGAGCCGACCCAGTTCAAAAGCGTGCGCTTGAGTAGATATCATGCAAAAGCAATTCTTGCAATT